ACACCTGCTTCGTGATGCTACGCTGGTCGCAATCACAGTGCTCCGGTGACCGACTGGTGCTGCTAAGGGTAAGGGTACCACTTGCTGCTCGACGGCGGCCACAGCAAGATGGCTGCCCCCGAGGCGCCAGAAAAACCCCCAAGACGAGCTGAAGGCAGAGGGCGACATGCCTACGGACGGAGAAGATTGGACGAGGGCGCGACGAGGAGGGAGAAGGCCACGGCCGCCCAAGGACCCCCGGGCAGCAGCCGGCAATCAGCCGCCCACGCCGCCTCCTCCCCCGTCCACCTCTGCTTCCGGCCCACCTCTGCCTGGCTCTGGAGTTTCTCTTGCGGCGCACGTTGCACAGTGTGTTTCTGGCGCAAGCGCTTGGCAGAAGAAGGAAGGGCCTGAGGCAGGGGACGACCGCGCAAAACCAGCACTGATCAATCCAATCGGCTGCGTCCCGAAGCCGGCACCCACAGTCTCGAAACTGACAGCCACCGATGAAGGAGTGGAGGAGGCGGAGGAGGAGGAAACGCGAACAGCCAGTGGCGCTGTGTGTGCATCAATCCCCACATGGTCCCTACAACCATTTGTACAGAATGAAGCCTCACACAACGACTCAAGACAGGGATACGCACAGCGCATGCAAAGGTGAAGCCCATGCAGCGACGCGGCGCGGTGCATGTCACTGATGAAGCCGTTACACCTTAACAGCAAGCCGAGGGGCGGCCAAAATGCTCGAGAGGTCGTCCGCGCTGCGAGGAGCAGGATGATGAGCACCTACCCCCGATGGTGGGAGCGCCTGGGTCTGGCAGGGGCAAGGAGGGTAGACCAACACACACACACACACACACACTCGGCGGCGAGAGAGGGGGGGGAGTGAGAGGGAGAAGGCCTTCTCAGAGGGCGGCGGGGCTTCTCAGAAGCCCTCTTGCCTTCTGAAGGGTTTCTGTGTCTTCGGAGGAGGCTTAGAAAACTTCTCAGAAGGCCACGGGAGTTCAGAGCCTTCTGAGAAGGAAAGACTCTCTTCGTTCCCCACGGGCTCGCCGCCGACGCACACACACACACACACACGATCACACACGCTTACACACTGGCTACATTAATGTATAAAGCGAATGGCATGGACTATTACGTGGTGGCGAGCGCGGTAGACCCAAGGACCGGATGGGCGGAAGATACAGGGGAGAAGGAGGGAGAGTGGAGGCGGGAAGAGGGACGAAGCGGACGGCGACGAGGCGACGACCAAGGACGACCACGACAACGACGACCACCATGGCCAGGACGACGACTGAGGACCCCGACTTCGACTTCGACGACGACGACGACGACGACGACGACGACGACGACGACGACGGCGACCATGATCACGAGCCGTCCACGGGGATCCCCGCGCGCCTTAGGCGAAGTGGATCGAACTCGTCAAGCAGCTCGTTGGACAGAATAAAGCCACGGATGGCTGCCTGCCCTTCACCAATTCGCTCCTTTCCCTCCTTCTTGTCATCCTCCTGCTCCTGCTCCGCCTCCTCCTCCTCCTCATCATCATCACCACCACCACCACCATCATCATCATCGTCATCATCATCAACAGAATCAACATCATCATCGTCAGTATCACCATCTTCATCATCATCATCATCATCATCATCATCAGCATCAGCATCATCATCATCATCATCATCATCATCATCATCATCATCATCATCATCATCATATTCATCATCATCATCATCATCATCATCATCATCATCATCATCATCATCATCAGCATGATCATCAGCATCATCATCAGCATCAGCATCAGCATCAGCATCATCAGCATCAGCGTCAGCATCAACATCAAGATCACCACCACCATAATCGTCATCAGCAACATCAACATCATCATCAGCATCATCAGCAGCAGCATCAGCATCAGCATCAGCATCGCCATCGTCATCAGCATCAGCATCAGCATCAGCATCAGCATCAGCATCAGCAGAATCATCATCAACACCATCATCCTCATCATCATAATCAGAATCAGCATCATCATCAACAATCTCATCCTCCTCCTGCTTCCTGCCTGTGCCACTATCCTCCTCCTCCACCTCCTTCTCCTCCTCCTTTTCCCCCTCCCCCTCCTCCTCCTCCTCCACCTCCTCCTCCTCCTCCACCTCCTCCTCCTCCTCCTCCTGCTCCTGCTCCTCCTCCGCCACCTCCTCCTCCTCCTCCTTCTCCTGCTTTCTGCCTCCTCCACCTCCTCCTCCTCCTTCTCCTCCTGCTTTCTGCCTCCACCACCTCCTCCTCCTCCTCCTGCTTTCTGCCTCCGCCACCTCCTCCTCCTCCTCCTCGTCCTCCTCCTCCTCCTCGTCCCCTTCCTCCTCCTCTTCCTCCCCCTGCTCCTGCTCCTGCTCCTCCCCTCCTCATCCTCCTCCTCCTCGTCCTCCTCCTCCTCGTCCTCCTCGTCCTCCTCCTCCTCCACCTCCTCCTCCTCCTCCTCCTCCTCCTCCTCTCCTCCTCCTCCTCCTCCTCCTCCTCCTCCTCCTCCTCCTCCTCCTCCTCCTCCTCCTCCTCCTCCTCCCTGCTCCTCCTCCCTGCTCCTATTCCTCTTCCTCCTCATCATCGCCCTGCACTCCAATTCATTATCATCCTCCGATCCTAGCCGGCCGATAACACCCGCATCCGATCCCTCCCACCCTACTCTGCCACCGATCCGACGGATCGCGCCAGCATCCGGTCCATTCCATCCTACCTGCAATACTGCCCTGCTGCGCACTGCGCACTCTGTAGATGCCGCATCATGGAGCCGAAGTGCCTAGAAATACTTCGACTAATACACAAAACCTGTCCTCAACATTGGCCCACACGTCCCGGGCACGTCACTGCATCAACACACATGATGGACCCACGAACCCGGAAAGGGATATGGAATTGTGAGGCATGGCAAAGTTTTCAAGACACCTGATTGGGCGACGGGCAAGTGCAATGCTGAATGTATCAATCTTGGTGTACCGCGCCCAGGGCTGTGCTATGTGAACTGCGATCTGCCATGCCGCGATTGTGCTCTATAGCGTTGTGGGTCGAGTGCTCCTTGGCATTCGAGTCCTGACCGAACTGATATGGATCTTAAGCTCGAGCTGCCTGAGCACATAGTAGCCGCCCCAGAACTAGTTGAAGTGGAAACGTGGAGGACGTTCAATCAGCCTCAAAATCCGACTCAACTCCGAAAAGGAACGACACGACACGGGGCACAGGCTCACGGACGCGCCACAGGATGTGCCAGGGGCGCAATTGAGGATGCGCCAGGGGACGTGCCAGGGGACGCATCAGGGGACGTGCCCTGGACGTGTCAGGGACCTACCACGGGGCTAAAGCGCGTGCCATGGGGCGGCCAGAGGACGTCATGCCGAGGGACGTTGCAAGGAGCCCGCCACGAAACGGGCAGGGGAACGCCTGGGGACGAGCAAGGAAACGCGACAGAGGACGATGCAAGGAACATGCCACGCCGAGAGACGTGCTAGGGGACGTGCCCGGGCACGTCACGCGTGAACGTCGGAAGGGACGCGCCAGGGGGCGCGCCAGGGCGCCAGCGGACGCCCCACGGACGGGCGGGGTTAGACTGCGACGCACTCTACTGCGACAATCGTTTCGCTCGAGATATCCTCAACAAATTCTCATGCTGGACATCCCCTTGGGCGACCTGGACACGTGAAAACAAGCATCTCTCTCGAGACGTTCTCAAGACCTCCTCATGCTAGACATCGGCCTGGGCGACCTGGACACGCGAAAACGAGCGGTTCGCTCGAGACGTCAACACCTCCTCATGCTGGACATCCACCTGGGCGACCTGGACACACGAAAACGAGCGGTTCGCTCGAGACATCCGCCGAACATCTTCATGTTAGACATCCGCCTGGGCGACCTGGGCACGTGAAAACAAGCATTTCGCTCAACACATCCACAACACATCCTCAAGCTAGACATCCGCATGGGCGACCTGGACACACGAAAACAAGCGTCCGTTTCGAGACATCCTCACAAAATCCTCATGCTAGACATCTGCCTGGACAACCTGGACGCGCGACAACAAGCGTTTCGCCAGAGACATCTTCACCGAATCCTGACGCTAAACATCCGCCTGGGCAACCTCGAGGAGTAAAACCAAGAGTGTCGCTCGAGAAATCCTCAAAACCTGGGCACGTGAACACAAGCATCTCACCTGAGACATCCTCTGAATTCTGGTCCCCAGGAGAGGAACGATCTATAGCACAAAACAATCATCAGCATCATCATCATCATCATCATCATCATCATCATCATCATCATCATCATCATCATCATCATCATCAGCATCATCATCATCATCATCATCATCATCATCATCATCATCATCATCATCATCATCATCATCATCATCATCATCATCATCATCATCATCATCATCATCATCATCATCATCATCATCATCATCATCATCATCATCATCAGCATCATCATCATCATCATCATCATCATCATCATCATCATCATCATCATCATCATCATCATCAGCATCACCATCATCATCATCATCATCATCATCATCAGCACAGCAGCTCAGCAGCATCATCATCATCATCACATCATCATCATCATCATCATCCTCATCATCATCATCATCATCATCATCATCATCGTCATCATCATCATCATCGTCATCATCATCATCATCATCATCATCATCATCATCATAATCATCATCAGCATTATCATCATCATCAAAATCAGCATCAGCATCATCATCAGCAGCATCATCATCATCATCGTCATCATCATCATCATCCTCATCATCATCATCATCATCGCCATCAGCATCAGCATCAGCATCATCATCATCATCAGCATCATCATCATCTATATCATCATCATCATCATCATCATCATCATCATCATCATCATCATCGCAACCATCATCACCATCACCATCATCAGCATCAGCATCATCATCACCATCATCAGAATCGGAGTCAGTATCCTCATCAGCATCATCGTAATCATCATCATCATAATCATCATAATCACCATCATCAGCATCAGCATCAGCATCAGCATCATCAGCATCAGCATCAGCATCATGATCATCAGCATCATGATCATCAGCATCACCATCACCATTATCAGCATCATCATTGTCGTCGTCGCCGTGGTCGTCGTCGTCTTCGTCGTCGTGGTCGTCGTCGTCGTACTGCGGTCATCACGGGCCCGCCCCCCCCCGCAGAGCCTCTGGGCCACCGGCCTCGCGGGCCAGGAGCTCGCGCAGCTTGGACGCCTGGCCCGCGGGGGCCCCCGCTCCGTGGCCACTCTGACGCTGCTGCCGTCCGAGCTGCTTGCCACCGTCGGAACAGGTTCTCAGGAGCTTCTCAGCCGATTCGGCTCGTCGGCCTGGTGCTAAAAGGACATGATCGCCCTCATCCTCCTGGGGAAATCAAAAGGTACCGATACCGCTACTCCCCGGACCTCTCCCGGGGTGCGTTCTGACCAGGATTTCGAGGCGAATCTGGCAGTGGCGACGAGGGCCTCCCATGAGGCCCAAAAAAACGAAAACGAGGCGAGGGTAGCGGTATCGGTACCTTATCTTCCTCTGACCTCCCCCCCTCATCCAACCTGCTCCTCCTCGCTCTTTCCGTTGCAGGGCAGAAGCCAGTCGGCTCTGCGGACGCATTGTGCTAAATGGCGCCACTCGCATGGCCGCCTCCAGGGCCAGCGACTCCGCGGTGAACGACGAAACCGCTAAGTCGTCGTCGTCGTCGTCGTCATCAAGGTCGTCGTCGTCGTCGTGACCGTGGTCGTCGTCGTCGTGGTCATCGTCGTCTTCGTCGTCGTCGTCCTCGGCACACCCCGCGGACCTCGTGTTGTGCCGACTCCAGCCCTTGCTTCTGACACCGCGGGGATCTTTCAACTTTTAAAGATCGGCTGTTTCCGATACATCAGATCGTTCGACGTCGACCGATTCTGGGTCCGGCGGCGTCCAATGTCGACCGACGGCGGCGGGGTCGCCGCCACTCGACACGACGCGAACCTACCGTACCCGTGTCGTTCGTGCCTGAAGGAAAAGCAGCGCGGCGAAGAGCCGCGCACGGCCAGCATCGGCGATGCATCGTCGATGCGGCGCGATCCTCCGATCACATCTGCAGTCGGGGCTGATTGGGGAGGACACGCGAGAGGACACAAGGCCCTTCCGAGGGCCACACTGCCATAGGAATCTAAGAAGGCATGGGTCGCGAAGTTCAGAACACAAGGGCACCCTTGATTTGCCAGGGTCGACCTACAAATGAGTCTCGACTGTACCCCGACCGCACATGGGAGGCCGCAGCCCAACAGCGGCGCTCTCGCCCGTCGGCCGCAGGCCTCCCCGCCCGCACGGTCGAGCAGCGCGCGCGGGCGGGCCGACAGCGACGAGCTCGAGCGCTCGCCGCGCTCGGGGCGTTCGCTGCGCTCGGGGCGGCGGCGCGCCCGACAGTGCGGCGGCCCACGGCTGCGGCCTGTGGGAGGCATGGCCCTGTCGTCGCGTTCGGGCGGCGGCGCGGCGGCGCGCTCGACAGTGCGGCGGCCTACGGCTGCGGCCTGTGGGAGGCATGGCCCCGGCCGCCCAGGGCCACCGGGGGGTCTGGTCGGTCATCGGGCGGCGGCGCGCCGAAGGGGGGAAGGGGAGGGCGAAGCTTCGCAGCAGGCGGCCGGGCTGGTCCTTATTATCATCATCCGCGTCGTCCTAACAAGCACCCTCATCACCATCACCATCACCATCATCATGATCATCATCATCAGCATCATCATCATCAGCATCATCACCAGCATCATCATCATCATAAGCATCATCACCATCAGCAACATCATCATCATCATCAGCATCATAACCATTATCATCATCATCATCACCATCATCATCATCATCCTCAACAACATTACCATCTTCATTATCAGCATCACCATCATAACCGTCGTCATGACAATCACCATCATCATCATCAGCATTCCCGCAATCATTACCACCATCATCATAATCATCCTGATCATCAGCACACGCAGTATCATCATGAGCATCATCCTCATCAGCCGCAGCAGTACGATCCTCACAAATTCACAAATCAATCAAAAAACCAACCAATCAAGCGATCAACCACTCACCCCCTATCACCATCATCATCAGCATTATCATCAACATCCTCGTCAGTACCACAATCATCGTCACCGACCTAATCAGCTTCATTACCAACCTCACCACCATCGCCCTCGTCATCATCAGCACCACTACCATCATCATCATCATCATCATCATCATCAGCATCATCATCATGAGCAGCCGCGGAAGCATCAGCATCAGCATTCGCAGCATCATGCTCCTACTCCTCTGGAAATGCATCCCTCACGAGTCCAAGATAGCCTGCAGTGGAAAGAAAAAAAAAAAAAAAAAAAAAAAAAAAAAAAAACTTGGGTGCCCACCACCGTCCTATTGGTTGGGTCCTTCCAATTTCCTGAATTCCTTGAATGCCCTCCTGCCCCATAATCCTGGCCCGTTCGGAGGACGCTCCACGATCCAAATCCTTCGCCAGATCCGCGCCTGATCTCCTACAGCGGGCGCAGAAACACGTGCGCCCACGCACCCACATCCCATGGGTCGGGTGAGCTCTGGCTGTTCAAATCGGGGCACTTGGGCACGACTGGCTTGCGGCGCGATCCCTTCGAGCTCTGACCGCGCAACCCACAGCCCCACCTGCCTCCTTCTTCGCGACGGAGGTGCCCTCATCCTCCTTGGCGATTCTTAGAGCACGGCAGAATTCATCCGAGCGCTTGCGAAGCCTTTTTCTGGGACTTTGGCGCGCCTGCTACAACTTAAGCCCAAACTCTTCAGCGCCCTTCGGACGCACGAGAACGCGGAGATTGGAGGGGCGACGCATGGCCCCACGTTCGGCGCGCCCAGCGACCTCGAAGCCTCTCGGATGCCGGCGGGGAGGGGGGCCGCCCCCACTCGGCCGCGCCCTGGACACGCGAGACGGCATCCAAAGCAGCTCCAAGTCCTGCCGCCCAAAATCTTCGAATCTTCAAAAACTTCCAAGATTCGACGTCAGGCCGGGGCGGGCCGCGCATCACCCCCACCCACCCCCCGGACGGCAACAACGAATTTTCGCGATTAGTGATTATCGCCGCCTGCTGGCCCACGCGGCACAATGCCATGTAGACAGCGAAATGCCCGGCAAGGCCCGAGCCCTGCGCGGCGCCCGGCGTCGGCCCATAACGCGCAAGACCTGGTTCACGAGAACCTGGGGTCATTGGAAGACACGACCACCGCGAAGTCGTTTGCCACTCGATATCTGGGGCCCAACCTGAGACGCGAATGAAAATCTCCTAGACGAGATGCCCCACTGGGACTCACGCGTTTCACGCTAAGATATCCTGCTTCGGATCCACCGAGAAGCGGGGATCATCTCGACCACTGCCCGCGACACCATATTCAATCAGCGAACAGCGTCCTGCCTCCCAGACGAGGCCAGTCGACCCACTCAAACCTAGGTCACGCCGCCGCGCAGCTTGACCGTCGCATTCGCACACTCGGCGTCGAAAGGCGCCTGCCCGAGCCCCGCAACACCGACACAAGTTGGCAAGAGAGAACAGCGTACCATGAAGCTTGCTCTGGGTCGAGAGGCCCCCAGCGCATCGCGATGCAAAAAAATCTGCACGCATAGCTCACCTCGCCCCCATCATGCGCTGAAGCCCATGAGCGATCGGCTCGTAGTGTTCTATATTATCCTAACCCAAATGCGTTAGGGCTCGGAGCTATCGGAGCCACCGGAGGCCGCAGCGCACGGGGCCCAAGAGGGCCCCGAGGCCCGCGTTGAGGGGGTCCACCACGAGGCCCCGAGCGCCACGCCACGTAGCATAATCCACTGCTGCCCAGCCCGCGCGCGCGATGGCCTGGGCGACCGCGCCAGCTGGTCCTATAACCGACACCCCACCAGCTGCCGAAAAAGATGCCGCCGCCACGAAGATGCTTGAAATTTTCACCAAGGCAAACACTCTCGGCGCCGCGCGGCGCGCCGCGCAACCAGAGGAGGCGCGCCGGCGACAAAAACGGCGTCGAAGTCGGGGATATCCGCGAGCAAGTGCTGCGCAGCACGAGAGCGCCACCCCGCTTTCCCGAACCGGGCGCAAGACGCCACGGATCGCAAATCGGCCAGATCATACTTGGACTCGCCTTGCACCCAAGCCCCACGCGTTGCCGCCGCTACTGCGCCCGCTCTAAACGCTGGTACCCGACGAAGATGTTTCAAGGCTCGGAGTCGGCGCGCCCTCCTCCTAACGCCCCGAGTACGTTGCTTCGCAGCCTGATCGCCTTTTCTCGCTTCCATCCCAAATTACGCGAATTTCTTAACCGCATGGCATGCGCGGAAACAATATCTTGAGAACGCATCCTGCAACCGCGTGGACAGGTCGTCTTTAGACGCAGCTGCGCCTCTTCTGCCGAACAAAATAACCCAACCTGCCCTCTCAAGCCTCTCGCGCAAATATGGGGCAGCCCGGGTAGGGAGGGAGAAGCTCCACTTCAGAAATGTGTTGGCGAGCCGCGCAGAATCGCGCGCAGAAGCGCCATTGCGAAACAGCAGGTCTGCACTGCTAGATCTCGTGGTCTGCGCTATGTTCAATGTGATTTCACGCACAATGAGGCGGCCCTTGCCACCCGCTGTGCACCATGAGACACGAACAAGCACGACGAAAGTTGATCGCATGCTTCACACGCGCGTGCCACAATACATCGTGCGGTGACGGTGAGAGCTGGCGTCGACGATGCATGGATGGCCATTGCTGACGCACGCGATGCTGCGTGTTGCCATATCGATCGCTCACAGCTTTGGCCTTTGGACCCATAGAGACATGTAAACGGATAGTCACGTTGTCACGCTGCTGCTTCACGCGTGCGAATACGCCAGAGGACACGGGTCGCCGTCGCGGGGATGCCGATCGGCCTGCACCAACAGTCTGGCGGCGACGCGTCGCACCGCGTTGGGATCAGCCGGCGCGACTCGTCGCGAGAAGGAAATTTGCCATGAACCTCGAGCGCCAGGTCGCTGAGCATCCTCAGCGCTGCGGGGTTCATCCCATCTCCCAATGCCGCATGTTTCCGGAACATTTGGAGGGCTCTCAAGACCTGCCCCGGGCGGGGGGCTGGCGGGGCTTGTCCGAATGAAAATCCCAGATGCCCTGTAGTGAGACGGCGGGGCTCTCCCTGGTGCCACATGTGTTCCCATTCCTCGAGGAGGGCGCACCCGGCGTCGACCTGGGCTGCGGAGCCTCCAGAAATTCAAACGGGGTCGGGGGCCCAACCAACAGGTTCTCTGGTGCTCTTAAGCACGGCTCCACCGCCAAAGAGCTATTGACCCAGCCCCAAACCTTGGCGCCCGCCTTCCTACATCAGTCAGTCCACTACCGCCTCCGCGAAGCCCAGAACCGATTCAGTGAAGACGCCAAACCATCCGGAGAAACACCGGCGTGCAATCGAGGCAAACTGGAAAACAGGCCATCCTGGAACTGCTGCGAGGTCGGACATCGGCTTGCGGAGCTGGCCAACGAGATGCTGGCCCCCTGGGGGGCACCAGCAATGGTTTCTGCCCCGAAGATGTCAGAGCTCTTCTATACGAGTATGAAACTTCCTGGGCGCTCTGAATGCCTCGGTGCAATTCTAATGAATGTTAAACTCGCTCTGTGTCGGCCTCTCGTCGAAGACGTGAATACCATCTAGCAGCTCGCCCCGGTTCATCGGAGGCGGAGGCCCCGCCGGCCCCGGGAAGGGGAAAGGCCCAGGGAACTCCAGGGCGCGCCTCGCCCCGCAGCGGTCGTCGGCATGGACTGCGAGAGCGACGGGGCAGCGGGCTTCATTCCCCGAGCCCCCACCCTGCGACGCGACTGGATGGAGCCCGCGAGGTCGTCGGAGACGGCGAAAAAGTCAAGCCCCCTCGACACGCCCACCGCGCACGCGGGCCGGTAGCCGAAGATCGCGACGCCGCGAAGCTTTCAAATTATCGGCAGCGCTTCTGAATCAGTCGGCGCAGAGCTGAAATCCACGACCCAAACGACGGGCTTCTGCGAGGCACACGATAGACCATTCATTCGATTGACTCACTGACGCCCCCATTATCCCTGGACCCCTTCCCCGCGCGGCAAGTCCAGTCCTCCTCGCACTCCTCCATTTACCCACGCAGGGGAACTTCGAAGGTTCAATAAGTGCTTGTGGGGGGCCCACGACCGAGCCGACACCGACGCGGCGCTCGACTGCAATTCCGTCCCCCGCTGGAACTCCCTTCTCAGCGGTGCTGACCGCGGGCGAAAAACGAAGCTTCCAGCCATCTGAACAGGCACTGCTTTCACTCTGAGAAACCTCACTGCGCAAAACTCTGCTATCTTGGGTGCAGATGGCATGGGCTCCTGTCGGAACTTGATCAATTTAAATATGCCAGGCACCTGACCAACCAAAGGCGCTGGCAGTCACGAGTCTCCACGTAGACGATGAACTGGATGCGGGACTCGATTCTGCCTCAAAATCAGACAGATCGCACTCGGCGTCGGTCGTGTTAAACCAACCACTGCACTGGAGCTGGGGGCTCGGCGACCTTCGTCTTGCCAGTGCTCTTCGCGACGAGCACCTTCGTTTGCTCGCGAAGCTCCTCGATGCTCCGACCCAGCAGCGAGCCTTTCCCTGCACGCGGCCCTGAATATGTGGCTGGCGGCGGCATGGCTTCCGGGCAGCCAGCTCCACCTCCTCCAGCCGGGGCCAATGTTTCCTCTTGCTGACGCTTTTTCCCAGCCAGGCGGGCATGCATGTCCTCCTGTTCCTTCTGGGTGTCCGCGGCTTTGGACTCGAGCTCCCTCAACAGTTGGGTCGCCAACTGCTCGAACTGTGACTTAAGACTGGCCTCGCAATCTTTGACTTCCCCAAGATCCTCTGCTGGCGAAGCACTGTATTCTCCCAAACTAAACTGATCTCCGCCACACAACAAATCCAATTCAGTGCGATTCACACTGAGGGCGTCCGTCAATGAAACCACATTCGTGGTCGGGGCAAAATGCGTCGGGGTGATGGTGCAGTGCAACTCCTTGATCGCCTCATTGTACAACTCCTCCTGAATGGTGAGCTCCGCTAAAGCGGCTGAGACCATATCCTGCTGCTTGTCCACCTGCCCGTGCATCTCCGAACGTTTCGTGGTCTGCTCGCGCAGGTCCCCCTCCAACTTGATGATAGCGCGGTTCGCCTGATCAGCACGAACCTTGGGAGAAACTGCCGAGCGGTCCTTGGCCACGGGGACGCTCTCGCAATACTGCGTCAGGGGAGCATTATGCGTTTTTCCTTTTGTTTGCCAAAACGATGAGCTGGCGCACTTCAACGGCCGAGATATATGGTACTGGACCTGTTCCTCCTGCGTGGGCCCCGAGTGGTAGAAGAACCATGGCACCCAGACCAGGAGCAGCATCAAGGCTGGCCGAGTCACGGTCCGCGCGGTTCGTGCCACTGCCCTGCTTGGACTTGTTCTTCTCGCCTGTCTGCCAGTGACACCCGCAATGCTTGAAGCGCGGCTGACCCCATTCCGTGTTGTCACATCCGCAGCGCTAACAACGCCACGTATGATTGCCATCCCACGCACGTTGTGGAGCAATCAGAAACGAAAAACTAACGTACAGTGAGTGAAGGGGGCGCGGGTCGCGTTTGACCACCTCGATCCCCAACCCCAGGGGAAGGGAAGCCCCCAAGCAACGAATTGAGCCAATGTCGGTTCATCCTGTTCCTCCTACTCCTCATCATCCTCCTCCCCCTCCTCCTCCTCCTCCTCCTCCTCCTCCTCCTCCTCCCCCTCCTCCTTCTCCCCCTCCTCCTCCTCCTCCATCCTCCGCCAACTCCTACTGATAATAATAATAATAATACTGCCAGTACTAATACTAAAAAACATGTTTCCTCCCGCATCCTTTGGACTACGCCTCACCGAACGGACTCCTCCTCCCCCTCTTCCAGGGGTTCGCCCTGGAGCGAGCAGCGATGATGCCCCCCAAGTTCTTGGGGGTGCCTGAACTGTGCGGTGACAGACCATGCGGCAACCTCGGAATCCCCAAACACCTCACCGCACGGCCCGCCAGCGCACGGCTCCAGTCCCAAGACCGTGCAAGCGAGCAAGCAAGGACACCCGTGGCTCCTGCCAAAGCTCATGGTGGACAACTCGCCAAACAGAGCCGAGATCACATTGCCGGGGCCACCGCGCTCTGGACTCGGCCGCCTGGCAAGACCAGGCGGCCACGCCCCGCCCCCGCTGACTCACCGCACGGCGCGGCCGCTGCACCGCTCTTCGGGGGGCCCCGAAGCTCGCTCTGGGGCGCCTCGTCCGGCCCGGCCCGGCGCGCCGCGCGCCCCGCCTGGCGCGCGTCGGCCTCCGTGACGACCAGCTTGCCGCTGCGGGGGGGGGGGGCTGGGCGGCACCGGCAACGACGGGCCGAACGCACAGCCACACACGGGGTCCACGTCGGTGGCGGTCGCATGCGGTGGCCCACCCTAGGGGGCCACATGCGAACCCTGCCCCTACTCCCCACGAGTTCTGAGGGGGAGGGTGGGGTTCACTTCGCTCGGGAGCTCCCGAACGAGGTGAACCCCACCCTCCCCCTCAGAAATTGTGGGGGGTAGGGGTAGGGTTCTCATGTGGCGCCCTAAACCCCGATTGCGGCAAGATCCTGCAGCGTCGGCGCGCGCAAAGGTAGGCTCGTGACGGCGCGTCGATCGTTCCGCCTTGCATCGATCGCGACCCCAATCGTTCAAATTTACATTCCGCCGAGTCCACTGGCGTCACCGTGTCCCTCGGTGCCTCCGCGTCGCAGAATTCAACCTTGAACGCCTTCGCTGGCGTCGCTGGCGCGCCAACGCCGCACGAACCCACCGTAGCGTGGCTTCGGGGGGGGGGATACAGTGGAGGCCAATCCACAAGAAACCTTCTACAAGAAACGCAACCCCGAGACCCCAGGACGTCAATGGATTTTTGGTGTGGGAACGTCACACTTTCCATAGAAAACCATGGAAACCCAATAAACCCAGGGCACTGTGGAGGAAAGCAGAGTGTTTATTGGCATGGATTTCCACTGCATGCGTCCCGGAATAGGCATATGGGGGAGAAGCGGGTCGCCCATGCATGCACCTCCCCCGCGGCTTGGGTCCGATCACGGGGGAGAGACCGGGAAGTATACGCTATGCGTGGCACTCTTCGAGGAATCCTGATGTTTCCTACAGAAATCTCTGCGAACCCCAAATCCGATGGATCCTTCAGGGTCAGAATGGCAGAGAACCCATTCAGAATTCCAGCGGACCCCCCGAGGATGCCCAAAGAAACCCAAGGATTCCCAAAGAGCTCTTGGGGAGCATCGAGGAGCCTGTAAGAAACCACCTTGACCCCAGTTGAAAATATGAGGAGCACACTGTAATTCAGAACCCACAAGGAGTTTTCAAGGATGCCTAAGGGAACCCGCTGAGTCTTTGAAAACTCCTTGAGTCAAGAGGTGCCTGCATAAACCAAAAGGATTCCTTAGGAGTTCCCTTAGAATTCCAATACGGATTATTCAAAAAGTCCTGGATTCCGTACGTCAGGAATTCCAAAGGACTCCTTTAGAAGTGCACCTTTCCTTGCGCAATCATGAAATTCCTTAGGGAATATGGTGAATATCTGAGGCCAGCAGTACACGCTATACATAGTTCGGCACTGAAAGGCATGCATGTGCTGCAGAATAGTTTCGCGAGGTGCGCAGACAAGGAGGACGGGGAAGAAGAGAACGAATTCTGATAATCCTCCGGTTCATCCTCCTCCGCCTCATCCTTCTCTTACTCCTCCTCCGTTGAGAACTGGCGGTGTGCGTTGCCCTCCAGACTGCGCTGATCGCCCCCCCACCACCATGACGCAACATGTGTTCCCCAAGAAACAGAAGCTGATCCGAAACCTACCCGTATGCTCAGCTTTGTGTCCCCCCGGGTACACGCTGAGCGCGTCCCGCTCAGCGTGCCACATCCATATCTCTGCCTCTGCCACGCGCTTCGTCGACGTACACCGCTTGTTTATATATATATATATATACACACACCTGCATACATACATACATACATACATGCATGCATGCATGCATACATACATACATACATACATGACCTTACCTTACCTTACCTTACCTTACCTTACCTCGCATTACCTTACATTATACTACGTTACACTACATTACAAACATACATTACATTACATTACATTACATTACATTACATTACATTACATTACATTACATTACATTACATACATACATGCATACATGCATACATGCATACATACATACATACATACACACACATACATACATACATACATACATACATACATGCATGCATGCATGCATGCATGCACGCATGCATACATACATACATACGTGCATACATGAATGCATGCATGCATGCATGCATGCATACATACATACATACAAGTACACACATACATACACACAAATACATACATGCATACATACATACAGACAGACAGGCAGACAGACAGACAGGCAGACAGACATGCATGCATGCATGCACGCATACATACATACACACATACATGCATGCATACATAAATACATGCATGCATGCATACATACGCACATACATACATACAGTCATGGGTGCACGCATACATACCTACGTACATGCATGCATGCATACATGCATATACATATGCATATACATACATACATACATACATGCAAACATGCATGCATGCATGCATGCATGCATGTATGTATACATACATACATACATACATACACACATGCATGTCTACATACATACATACATACATACATACATGCATACATACATACATGCATGCATGCATGCATGCATTCATACATACATACTTACTTACATACATACATATATGCATGCATACATACATACATATGTATGGTCACCCCCCCAGCACCCCCCAAACCACCAAAACCACAAAACGATCATTGATTGTTTGCTCCTCCTCCTCCTCCCTCGCCCTCCTCTTCCTCCTTCGTTCCTCCTCTTCCTTAAATCCTCCTCCTCCTCTTCCTTCTCCTCTTCCTTCGCCAAAAAGACTTGCGGGATCAGGGTGGCCACGAAACCATGCTATTCACATGTATTTGTTGTTTTTTCTGTCAGGGAGGCAACCAAACACTGCTATTCACATGTTTGTTTTGTTTTTTTTGGTTTTCAGAGATCCACAAGCATGGCCAGGGGGTGTTGTGGAACGCCAGAAACCAAACAAAAACTTGTGAATTGCAGTGCTTGGGGAGAGCATGGCCACGAAACCATGCTATTCACATGTTTTGTTTGGTTTTTTCGGTCCGCCAGAAAACCAAAAAAAACTGTGAATAGCAGCATTTGGTGAGAGCACGGCCACGAAACCATGTTATTCACATGTGTTTTTGTTTTTTTTTGTCCGCCCGAAAACCAAAAAAAAAAAAAAAAAAAAAAAAAAAAATGTGAATAGCAGCGTTTGGTGGCCATGCTCTCCCCAAACACTGCAATTCACAAGTTTTTGTTTGGTTTCTGGCGTTCCACAGCACCCCTTGGCCATGCTTGTGGATCTCTGAAAACCAAAAAAAAAAAACTGAGAATAGCAGTGTTTGGTTGCCTCCCTGACCAAAAAAAGAGAGAGAAAAACTATATATATATATATATATATATATATATATATATATGTATATATATATACATATATAAATATAACGATAATAAAAACAAAAAAAAAAAAAGGGAAAAGCACGGTTTCGTTGCCATGCTGACGCTGTTGCTGTTGTTGCTCCCCTTCCTCATCCTCATCCTCCTCGCCCTCATCCCCCTCATCATCATCCTCCTCATCCTCTTCTTCTTCCTCCTCATCATCATCCCCCTCATCCTCCTCATCCTCATCCTCTTCTTCGCCCTCCTCATCCTCGTCCTCCTCATCCTCACCCTCCTGCTGTTCCTCCGCCTCTTTTTCCTGCTCCTCTTCCTCCTCCTTTTTCCTCCTCCCCCTCCTCCTACCGAACCCGCCAGGATCACAGTATGATTACAATCAGAATGCAGCTATAATTCTTCAACCCACCCCTCTTTCTCCAAATCAATGCGACGCAACGCGATTGCAGCGCAATGCAACGCAATGCGATCGAAATGCAGTGCAATGCAATGCACTGCGATCGCAATGCAATGCAATGCAATGCAATTGGATTGCCACGCAATGCAATTGCAATGCAGCGGGGGGGGGGGTTGTTGACAAAGGGGTCCAAGACAAGGGGCATCTGCAAGATGGGGAAGCACGGCGAGAGGAGGAATGATGAGTAACAGGATCAACTGAAGATGGTGCTGTTGCGCACAGTTCACAACCGTCGTAATCAATATGCGTGCCCGCGCACATTTCGCATGGGCATTTCTATGACACTCGCCCAACATATCGCAACGCGGAAGGCATCTACATCTGGAAAGCGAACAAGCATAGACCTGAATGCATTCACATCAGCTCGCTTCGGCCGTCATAGGCAATATGCGTCGCTGCTCACATTTCGCCTGTGCGTTCTCGCGTCACTCGCCAGGCCAGCTGCCGCTGGATCAGTCCGTAAGGTCACCTGGAAGCTCGCTCGCGCCGCCAACGCGCCCCGCCTCGACGCCATCGAGGAGCGTCTCCAATTCGGCTTCCAAGTCGACGCTATCGTCGGCCACCTCGATGGTCTCGCCGTGCGCCTGCGCCACAATGGATGCGAAAATCGCCCGCTGCTCCTGGATGTCCACGGGGGAGAGCGGCCCGCCGCAGGCCAGACCCGTCCTCCTGGTCTTCCGCGGCGGAGTGACCAGGTCCTCGCGCGCGCCGTGGTGGGTCTTGGCGAGGCTGCGGAAGATCGCCACCTGCTCCCGATGGTCCTCTTCCGAGAGCGCACCGTCGCAGCCGACGATCGGGGGCTGCACGGCGGGCGCGGCGTCCGCGGGCGCAGCCGCGCCACTCGGCGCACTCGCGTCGCCGCTCGATCCAGGAGCAGCACCCGCCTGCCACGGCACCATCATAAGCACTTTGGCCTCGGAGTTGATGATCTCCCTCACGTGGGCGCCCCGCGCGGCCGTCAGCTTTTTTGGGGGCGACAGCTCGGGCCCCCGCATGTCGCCGCCGAAGCCGGACACGCCCTCATCGTCCGCGGGGTCGGCCCACGCGTCGGCGCCGCCGCCGCGGCCGGACATCCCGCCGCCGTTGGGCGCGGTCTCCACGCCGCCCGCCGCGCCTGCCCCCCGCGGCGCCGCGACGCCGGCTGGGGCGCTGCTCGCGGCGGCGGCGGCGCCATCGGCGCCATCCCCGCCACCGTCGCCCGCGCCCGCTGCTGCGCGCGACGCAGCCATGAGCTTGAGCACCTCCTTCTTCGCGAAGGCGAGGAGCCAGTCGTACTCCT